TCCATAAAAAAAATTTTGAACAAACACATATTGATGTTTGTGGACAAGTTGATTTGTCTTGTGAACAATGTGCATCGTTTTCATAACTACTTTGACCAAAACAATTATGTTCAATTCCATGATTGAACTCAAAACAGTTAGTTAAACGTTGATGATCATAATCACTGCAGAAACAAAAATGATTATCATTGTAGAAGCAAGATGAAAGTGGTGAACGCTTTTGACATGGCAATCGATAATATTTGATGCGATGAAGAGAATGAAGTTTGACGATAGCCTCATTCAATATTTCACTTATATGTTTACAATAATTTGATGGAGTAATTGTTCGAACAATAGTTGTCGATGGGATTGTATTTGTTTCGAGCAATAATTAAATAGCAGTTATTATCGACAAAATGAAGAAAAGCAACATGAAATAGATCTGACCATTGACTAGTAACAGATTTTTCATTAGTAAGAATAGTTTTGAAAGTAGAACCATTTCATTAGAGTCATTATCAATCACTCAAATAAAATGAACAAACATTGTTTGTGGTAAGATGATATCTTTATGAAATGATAGAATTATTTTATTACCAACTATTTCACATCTCTCTTCACTAAATCCTTTTTGACTGATGCATATAAATGGCTTAGCAGATATGATATTTTCATCCATAGATATGTATTCACTATTATTTTGACAAGTAAAATTTTGATTCGAATAACATACTGTATTATGAAGTAAACATTGAGAATCCATTTTATGAAGAAGACAAATACAAATAGATCGATTATTTGAGGATATACCAACACACAATGAATCAGATGAATATGTACATGTATGTGAAATAGTACAATATCTTCCAGACCATCCATGATAACATTGACAAAAACTATTATCATTTGGATTATTTGAATATATAATACATGGCTGATCTAAACAACTTTCTTTTCTATCATTTGTACGTGGAATGTTAATCTGAACTGTAATACGATGTACTGGTAAAACATATCCTTAAATGGAATTAATCTAGTTGGATAAATTAAATAAATATTAAATTTAGTTTGACAATCTCGAATATAAAAATAAGTAACTTATTGATATGAATGAATAATTCTTT